TTTAGTAAAAGATAATTTATTTGTATTGTATGATATAGTTCAAATACTGTATTGTGGGAAATTTTGGAAGGAATTAAATTTGGCAAATTTGGCGTTTTGATAGCCATTTGCCAAAATAAAAATCTGTCCTTTCCAGCCATTTTGCGCATGCTCATACAATGGCACATGGCCACAAATTTGCCAAATTAAAATTTGCTAATCACCAAAATTTAGAAATTTGCCAAATTTAACTCCCTCCAAAATCTTCTGGCTGCTATCTGTACACTCTTTAAGTAAAAATTTGTGTCAAAAACTATAAATTTTAAAATTTCACAGAATAAACTTTGTATTGTATTCTTGTACATGTTAGTATAGTTTAGTATACTCTTGCACACCTCAGTATACTATCATTGTATGTGTTCCATACAGTTATTTGGTGGTGTTTTACTAACACTGGATACTATACCAGTCTGGATAAGATGGTTGCAATACGTCTCATTATTCCGATACTCAATTGAAGCTATTGTAGTCAATGAAATTGATGGACTGTATTTTAATCAAACAATGTAAGTCATAATCATCTCTCTCTTCCTTCTTTCTCCTTCATTTAATATTGAAACTCTCTCTTTCCTTCTCTTATATCAAATTTGTCATTGATTAACGTCCATAATACTCATATTCACTGTTTAATATTTCAATTAGCTTTGCTACTATTATTAATAAAAAATACTAACAATAATAATTTTAGAAATAATTTGTAAAAATTAATAGCACATGAAAAATACGCTCTGCTATATTGATTCATTCTCTCTCTCCTAGTAATGGTAGTAGTGTGTTAGTTCCTGGTAGTGAGTTATTGTCATTTCAAGGATACAAGACCAGTTGGTTGTGGTATGACATGATTGGACTAGGAGGACTGGCTCTTCTATTCCTAACACTAACATACATTACACTGAGACTAATTAAGAAAGAAAAATAAATAAATAATAATAACAACAATAATAATGATGACAATAATGATAATGATAGTTGTTGCCTGTCTTGTTGTCTTGGTTTAATAATGATGACTTTTATTTTTAGCTCAAGGTATGCACATTAAGGAAAAATTGTCAAATTTTGAAAAAATCTTGTTTAAAAATTGCAAAAAAATCTTTAAAATACAAAACACATTAGAGTAGCCAAAATAACTGATATTAAATTATAACTAAAAGTACAAAACGAATTCACTACTTCACTCAAGTTTTTCTTTTATTTCAATTATAATGTCAGACATTGTTGGACAATCTTTGTAGTCTCTATCAGACAATGTTCAATGAGATTCTTCAATGTCGGCCTCTTGATAGCTTTAATCTGAGCCACTCTCTTTCCTACGTCTGGAAACTGACAAACGGACATTTCCATAAGGAGGACACCATAACTGAAGACATCCATTGCAGGAGAGTGTTCCTTTGGATTGCCTGCTTCAGGTGCTGAATAGACAGAATTGCGTGTGCTGGTAAGTGGCTGAAGACTAACTGAACCATAATTTGATTGAGTGTGGTAGAACAGTTAGTGAATTGTGTGATATATTGAGAGACTGTAAATTAGTCAATTATCCAATGTCTACTGGTAAACACTGTAGTTTATTATAACTGAGGGAGAGATAAAGGAAACAAAGAATGAACAAAATACAAAACAGAATAAGTGATAGATACTGCATGTCATCTAAATTTTTTGTAGCCCCAAAACAAATTTAGCAAAAAATCTACACATTTTGTATTTAATAAATTAACTATCATGTGAGTTAAAAAGTAAAAATTAAATCAATTTTTATCAATAATTGTAAAATTTAATTCTCAATAAATTAGTACATGTATGCATGAAGAGATATATACATGTACATATGGTAGAGAGTGGATACAATATTTACCTTGCAAATATTTTAGATAGTTTATCCAGTTTGATCACATTATTAGGTAGACATCTTAACTCATTGTACTGGACCTATAATAACAATAACACATAACATGTAAACATAATTATGAGTCTTTATACAAAAATAAACAAGCTGATCTATAAACAAATCTACAACATTCAAAGGAGTTGTCTCAAAGCATGCAGTATACCATGCTATTACAATTTAATTGATACATACATGTACAGTAAACATGTATTGTAATGATATTAAAAATCTTATATTTTTATTCTCACCTCAAGCGCTGACAATGAATTAAAGTTTTCAATATCTTCAGATATTTCTTTGATTTCGTTAGATGATAGATCCAGTCTAGTCAGTTCCACCTGGTCCCACCATCTCTCATCAACATCAAATGAAGCAGTACTACCATCAGGAGGATCAATATTGAGTCTCCACAGTTTAGGAGGAATAGCACTAATGCCCCTGTAATTAGAGACATTCACCCACTAACTTTCATACATTCATTATTTCATGTTCATTAATACGTCACAAAAATGAAAATTGAAAAAGCTTATTTTTTTCATTTTGATGAATTTAAAAAACATGTTACAAGTCTCAAACAGCCTCCTACCTGTTTCACAGGTTCAGTGAACTGGTTTTACGAGCTTCTTTATATAAGGATTCTGGTACAGTCCCCTCCTTACCTACCCCATCACTTTGACTAGGAGAATTGAAGAAGTTGGGATTTGGTTTGAGTCTAGTAGAACCAGCAGGAGATTGTCTACTGGCACCACGACTGGAGCTCATTTTATGAATTTTGGATAAATGGGTGTGGTCTTATGTTGCATAGTTTGGGTGGGGCTGGTATTTTGCAAGAATGGCATCTAAAAGTGAGGGCCACTATTTTCTTCTCTTTGTATCTCTTTCATTCATTCTTTGTCTCTCTTACTCTCTCACTTACTTTACTCCTCCGTATCCTGTCCTTATTCTAACTAATCACTATATTACTGTTACTCTGTTACTGGTACCTCTTGTTCTCTATAGGCTATCAACCAGTGAAGAGGAATAGTCACTCCACAGTAAAGGTAGGAGACTACCTATATATGTGGGGTGGGGTTGGAATACATGATAATGTGATGGAGGTGTATCTCTTACCAACTGGTGCTTGGGACCAGAAACCTACTACTGGTACCCCACCACCAGGTAACTTCGCCTACTCAACCGTTGCCATAGGAAAGGACATATATTATTTCGGTGGATGTGATAGTAGTTATGAAAACAGCTTACATTGTTTCAATGTGGATTCATTCAAGTGGAGGAAACTCTCTCCTTCTAGTTATGATCGTGATCCAATGATGAAGGCCTACTGTGGAATGATATCAGCTAATTTTGACGGTGAAGACTATCTTATAATAATTGGAGGCTATGGATCATCTTCTATCAATACTCCAAAGCAACCTGATGCTCAGTATTCAGCTGATGGTAGATGTAATGAGATACATTATTACAGGATTTCATCAGGTCAGTAATTCTCATCATTGATACACAATAGTTGATGAGTATTTCAAACTGAATAATTTATATTAATGTACATAAAACAGATTGTTAATAATTAAGTGTGTTTGTTAGTGTGTCTCTGTGTGTCATGTTTTTGTGTGTGATGGTGACGTGTGTCTGTATGTGACGTGTGTGTGTACTAATACATACATTATGATGTGTCTGTGTATGATAGTGCATATAATGTATGTGAGAATTTAGTGAATGTATGACGTGTGTATGTGACGTGTATCTATAATGTGCATTTT